TCGAAATCTGAATGGGCTTACACTCTATGCAGAAGTTTTAATGGAAGTAAAGGAATGGAATGGAAGTAAGGAAATCAAACAGAAGACTTATTTGCTTATTTTTTGGTTTTTATTTAATTTGAATTGGAAGAGGCATTGATTTTTAAAGTAAATATTCCTCTCAGTCGTAGTTTCTTAACTTCCATTTACTACCTAATTTCTTGTGGCTAAAAGTATTTGATTTAAGTTCCAACCTCACAAAATTAGATGTATTTCTTAAAGGAAATAATCTGTTCTTTTTGTCTCTAAGGCAAGAAACAATAGCAACCTGTCTTTGGTGTGGTTTCTGGCACTCAATAGGAGAAATTCATCTCTGGCATTTGTATGCCATGTTTTATTGATCACTTAATTAAACCCATTTAATTTTTAGATTCTGACAACAGATGTGTTCGATTTATGCCTAACCACAACACATTTATTCGTTTGTGCAAATTTATCAATTGTTCCTCCTGGATTTGGCCCAGACTTTCCACCCAATTGAGCATTAAACACGGCCGACTTGCTAGGAACATAAACCACAAATTCGTTTTATTAACTCACCCGAGCCAGGGAAGACCAAGGCATATAAAACATTTTTATTTCGTTATGCATGAAAATGGGAAAAACGGGAAGTGGCGGGGGTGTATCGTTGTGTGGGCTATGTTGGAAATATGCAAAGCGGCCTGACCTTCGTGACAAAGAGCACAACGACAAGTCACAACAATTGCCTGGGCCATTCAATAAAAATGTAAATTAACTTATCAATTACAACGCCCAAACAACAATAAACTGCACGGCCATTCGAGGGAGTGGCCTACTAGGCACGTGCTCGAAGGACCTCATGCCGCCGCCACCAAGGATCTCCCTTTCCACGCCCGAAAAAAAGCACATTTTGTCGAGTCGGGTCCAATCTTGTGGCCACTTCTCCGGCCGGAGTTCCTTTGCTCTCTCGCAACGGTTTTCTTATGCAAATTGCCAACGCTAAAATATTCCAGGCTCATAATTTTTATTTCCGTTATTCGAGTTTCAAGATTGTATTGCATACTTGTTGGCGCATCTCCCCTCTTGGTTCGCCCACCTCCGCCCAAGAGCAGCTCTTCCTGCGCCTTTTGGGAAATTTGCCTTGCTAATATGGCCGAAAAGGAGCCCAGTGTCTGCCAGGTTGTCTGGTGACTGCTCTCTTCGTTTTTTCCCCGGCCAATTCCTGGGGACAATCTCCATCTATTTGGACAAAGAGAAGAAGAGAGAGCACAGCGTGGGCGGGTCCGAAGATATCGTGGACATAAATGACATAAGTTACGACTGGCAGATCTGATAATATCTTAATTTAGAGAGTGGGCGAGAGCAAAGTTCAATGTAGCTGGGGGCCACTATCAAGTTAAGTGATTGTAATGGCCCACACAAAGCAGGGAAAACTCTAAACAGGATCGTAGGGCTGGCGTCCTCTTAAAAAAGTTAGGCCTTTCCAATGCAGATGGGAAACTGTAAGCTCTGACGATGTTTCAAATTCTTAAACTTTCTGACTCTTATATAGTTACTAATATTTCTTAATTCTTAAGATATATAAAACAAACCTTTATATAGGTAGATCTAATATTAACTCTTCTTATTTTTTAAATTTCAAAGGTTTCATAAAATTGCTTCAGTGGACCTCTCACACATCCATGCAGTCAGCCCAGAAGGAATGTTTGCCGTCTAGGTGAGATTTGCTCGTCACTCTAGAGCCTCCCACAGAATTTTCACACACAGTAGACTGCTCGTGAAACTACCTCAGCCCCCTCTAGTTTTCCACAGCGGTGAATTTTTCCTGACCAGGTCGGCAATTGAAGCATCACATAATCAGAGGTGGCCAGAGTAATGCAGGCGGGCACGGAAGTGGTCAGAGCAGGCGGACTCAGAATGATTGTGATGAGGGGTTTGGACTTGAGAGTGGGCTTGGCCCCGGTCATGCAAGGCGCATTTTCGCATTCACACCGCAAGCTCACCGTTGCTTTTCCAGCAAGTCAGACAAATTATGACCACGATTTGGACTTGGACTGTTCGAGGAAAAAAAGGAGCTCCTACTGCTGGTCAGGCGATAAGCATTTGCGTGATTAATGAAATGTGAGGCCCAATCCCTCGCCGCCGAAAGTTATGTCGAGAAAGAGTTGGCAAAGTCTGGCGGCTGGAGGCCTTTCCATAAATAAACAATTAGGTCTTGCCACCCGCAACCAACTTGGCATTCTCCGACTCCAATCCTGACTTACTGGCTCACAATGGGCGGGCTTTTCTGCTTTCCAGCTTTCCCGTTTGGGCCCCCTACCCTTCATCTAATTGACTCGCACTCGCCCAATTAGAACTCGTAAGCGGGCACGCTTTGCCCATTTGAATTTATATTGAAATTTAATTTAATTAATAGAGCGACTGGAGACAGAGTTACAGTTGGAATGGGCACTGGAGTCACAGTCACCCACCAGGTGTTGTATTCATTTCCCATTTTCCCTGGCCTATCGCAGCGGGAAGTGTCAAACAGTCAACTCAATAACTGTTTATTTTAGTTGGCACATTTCCAATTTTGGCCTGGTCTCTTACTGAGAGCCTGTGCTGAGTCAGTTAGTAATCGTTTTCCTTTATTTTTTGGCCAACTAGAGCACTCTATAGCCGTATATTGTGGCCTGCTAGATTGGCAACTCTTTGTCTGGCTGGGCCATGGATTTGCATTTTCTATCTCTATTGGCGGTTTGCATTTCATTAGCCTGATCGATTTGGCTTGCAAGTTTATGGCAATAAAAGGTGTTAAGAGCTGGACTGGTTTTATTCGAATAATTTGCAATGGTTTTTATATTCTATAAACTAACATTTACAGAGGTTTTTATTAGTAACATAATACAATAATAATAGCCATGTAGCGTTTGCTTTTTAAACTATCAATAACTTTGACTTGACATTTTGAATGTCATTGTCAATGTGCAGGATATTTAGTAGAAGGTTTGCGGTTTACAAAATGGCTAAGTTTATGCTCGAAGAAAATTGGGAAATATTGTTAACTTTTTTTTATCTATATATCAAGATCATTTTAATTGCCAGGCAGCAGAGTTCCTGGCATAAATCAGATCATTTTCAAGACATTCTCTGCCCCTTCACATGGCGTTATTGCCCTGTTTTGCCTCCTAAAACCCTCCTACGATCACTGCCCACCTGATGTCGATGTGATCAATATCCCTGGACATCCATTGCCATCCATAACGAGGCAAACTCCCAGGCCAAAACGCCTCCGCTCTGCCAATCCCATTTTCCGCTTTCCATCCGCCCATTTGCTACCGTTTAGCCAGATTGATTTCGGGCCAGAAGCCGCACGACTTCGCCGATCACTCCTTCCAACTTTTCGCAGGGGGCACAGGGAGGCGTCACGCCCACCGTTGCAGTTTTCCCATCGCCATCGCCGGTGCCCATCAATCAATTTCGAGTGCTCGCAGTGAGCAGTGAGCGGGAGGCACTCCACTTGCTTTTACCTGCCTCCGAATATCCGATGAGGACCCGCGGAGGAGGACGAGGCACCGAGGTTAGGCCTTCGAGCGCTTTTGGTTGTAAAAATTGTTTCGGCATCATTTTTCATATCCGCAACCGAAACAAAACCAAGAAAAAAGAACCTAAAACTCTGAAAACAATATCCAGTCGGTGGCAGGGAAATCGAGTAGCATCCTAACAGCAGGAGCTTCATGGAGTGATGGGAAACCAAGAGGAGATTTTGTTTATGGAAAGGCGAAGTTTCAAATACTCTATCTGAGATTTTAAAATATAAACGTTGGACTTCGGATTATAATTCTTTTAGAGATTAGTAATATAGCTGATACCTTTTTGGTATCCTTTTTAATGTGTCCAAGAGACTATCAATATAGAAATGCCCTATCAAAGGGTATAAAGAGGTGAATCAATGTGGGGAGGGTTAAGTTTCGGTGGGCAGGGGTGCGTATACGTGATCGCAGCATTTCTTTGGTCTTTCTGCGACGCTTTGTTTGCGCTGCTATCGACACTCCGCCACTCCACACATCCCGCCCCCCATTTTAAGCCTTGTTTGCACTTGGCAATGCCGAGCGAAAGAGACAGCTGCGCCAAAACAAAAAGAGTCAGATAGAGAGAAAGAAAGAAGGTTTCGCTGTAGCGCGAATTTATTGCAATTTCTCATTGTCAGCGAACGCGTTCGCCGGTAAATTTTGATTAAACGCTCCCCGGGAATTCACTTTGCCTTGCACTTTTTTGTTTTTATTTTTCCTGCCGATAGGAGATGGCACGCCTCCCATCAGCCAACCCCCTCTACATACCCATCACGAAACCCAAATCCCAGTTGGTGGCCAACTCTTTCATTTGAATTTGATAAATGGCGCTCGTTGCAAAGCGATATGTTATGCAATTTAGGGATTTCTTTTTGGTTAAAAAATATTGAAGCGATAGCTAAATGTTTGTACAACTCGGAAATAAATGAACTGGCAGACAAAGCGAGAAGGAAGTGATGAGAGTTTAATCAGGCTTTTGGAAATCAATTTGGTGAGAGGGTCTGGTAGAGGTGAGCTATCTCTGGGCATTCGTGAGAATGAAGATATGCTGTGCCAATAATGCCCAATCTCTGTTACTTATCTCGGACCTGAGTCCTCAAGATTAAATCGATTCCACTTAAGTACAAAACCCTATAATAAACCTGCTTAAAAGGGAGCAGGCATAATGTAAAAATTACAAATTGCAGAACCTGAACCGAAGGCGAGACGACAAACAAGGCCAAATTGATGCCCGACCGACAAGCTGTAATAATAATTTCGTGCCAATTAATCAGCGTTAAATCAGAGCGTCAACATCCCCACCCTGCCTGACAATCTTCTTTTCTTTTTCCGTTTTTCCTGTTTTCGGACGCCAAAGGGGAATCGAGTAATTGCCATTCGCATTTTAAGTCAACACCAATCGGTTGGGGGAAGGCCACACTGACGGCCAGCTTTTAGTAGACACTGGGCCTGGCCACACTTTTCCCTTTCTGATCATTCTATGCGAGTAAAGTCACGTGCTTTGCGTTCTAAGATTTATTTTTGACGCTCACAACCTAATAAAGTAAGTAGGTCTGGAAAAATTAGAAAATATGTGCTTATATTAAATAATTTAGAAATGAAGAAGCAGCAAGCTGGCGAAAAGAAAGCCAAAAAGGCTAATCCGAAAGCTCCCGAGCCTACGAAGAAAGCCAAAGCTAAGGTGGCAGAAACCGCAGTTCCTGACAAGGCTCCTGCTGCCCCACTGTCTAATAAGAAAGTGGCCAAAGCTCCGGCTGTGGCCCTGAAGAATCATGAGTTGGCCATGAAGGAGTCGGCTAAGAAAAGCCTGGAAAATGCTGACAAGAAAATAGCCTTGTCGGCTAGAAAAGCCATCGAAAGCATTGAAAAATCAAACTTGCCGGTGCCAACGAAAAAGAGGCCTGCCCCTACGGCACCTGAAAATGCAAAGAAACCTGAGGCTCCCGCTGCCAAAAAGCTACCTCCAGTCAAGCCAACCAAGGCAGCCACTCCTCCAGCCCCAAAGCCTAAGAAGGAGGTGGTAACAGCCGAAGGAGAAGCAGCTCCGGAAACTATAGCCACCAAGGCTGCAGCTGCAGCTGCTCCGGCCAAACCGAAACGAAAGCCTAAACGCTCGAAGAATGTTCTGCGCGGAAAGCGGATGGCCAAAAAGAAGATCTGGCAACGCTTCGTTATCGACTGCACATGCTTGGCCGAGGATATGCTTATGGATGTCAACGATTTCGAGAAGTATTTCAAGACTCACATCAAGGTGAAGAACAAGACCAACCAGCTAAACGATCTGGTCACCTTCGAGAGGACCAAGAACTACTCCTTGATCATCCACTGTGGTGTCCACTTCTCGAAGAGATATTTTAAGTACCTCGCCAAGCGCTACCTCAAGAAGAACAGCCTGCGCGATTGGGTGCGGCTAGTGTCCACCAGCAAGGACACGTTCACCATGCGCTACTTCAAGATCCAAGGGCAGGACGATGACGACGATGATGATGACGATGCTGATGCAAAGATCTAAATGTGATGGCATGTACTTACTCCCTTTCGAAAAGGCAATTTCTTTATAAATCTTTCAGTGAACTTTAAATCCTATTCATGCTTTACAAGTTCTACTGATTTGTCATACTTGCCTTAATTTTCTTCGAAAAATCTAGAAAAACATTTTGCTTGTTTCTTTTACTAATCATTTAACCTGTAATATCTAATAAAAAATCATTTAAACCCGCCTTCTTTAAGATGTATCTTGCATTTCTAACTTTAAAAATTCATTCAGTATTCCTATCTATAGGTAAGTCCTGCCTTTGTACCCTGCAAAAACTAAAACTTTATACTCGTATGTTAAAAGCAGGTAGAAGGACTGTTACTTCAGTAAAGCTGCCTTTTTCGCATTCATTCTCAACTTTTAACCTGAACGATTGACATTTCAGAGAGGGCCTGGAGTGGTTTTCATCTTGCTTTGATTGGGAGGAGCCAGTCTTGTTTTCTTTACCTTTTTACGCTTTTGTAAATACCTTAAATTGCCCCATTGCTCGGGATTGTTTTCGATGCCAGGCGGCTTAATTGCTTCGCTGTGGGTCTGCCAAATGGCCAAAGCCGTAAGACATCGGGAGGGGGAGAGCACCTCAGCCGTCTGTCAGCGTTGGCCGTAGGTGGTCCATAACGAGCTAATGAAATGCGAATCCAACGAAAATGCGACCAACCGAGTGAGTCAGGCAGCTGTCAAAATCGGAATCAACCTGAGCACTTGCCGTTTTGCTGGTTTTCGACTGGGACGGGCCAAAAAGAACACAATGGCTGGGCAAAATATTCAGCACGTCAGCCAAGGAGGAGAATACAAAGCGAAAATAAACATAAACGTCATGCAAATCGTATGGTAATTGCTGTCATCGCCGGCTCTTGTCAAAACGGGTTGAAGTGTTTTGTAAATGCCAGAAAAAATTAAATTCCAGACATGCAGACAAGTACTACCAATAATAATAATGATGATAATGTAAGGAGGAGAAGTCAAAAGTGAGACACACGCGATTATTATTTTGTCAAATGGCAAAACGATATCTGGCCCAAACAGAAGGAGCAGCATCTGACTGGCCTGGACTCTTGGCTGTAAAAAATCTGACAGCTAATGATGATTGAAATTGATTGAACTAACACCCATAGACGATGGCATTGTTTATCGAACTCCAATCAATATTCAATTTACTCTTTGTTAATAAACATTTCTAGCACGTGTTAATTACCTTCAGATGTATTTTTTCATTTAATTAATAGTAAACACTTTTATGATGTAATAATGCCTTGATGAGTCCTTTTTTTTGTAAATAATATTGAGTATTTTTAGCAAATAATGGCCTTTTAGTTTTAATATTTATTTTATACACAAAAAAAACTAAAAGCAGCTTTAACAAAAGTATTATTTTAAATGGCAATCCCTTTTTAAATTGATTGCAAACCCTGTTTTTAGTCGCTGCCAAGTTGACATTTAATTTTACCCCAAACTTCATTCATATCCCGAATATCGTTTGAGGTTGGTTAATCCCTGTCCCTAGTTAAGCTAATTAACACATCGATTACAACGTTGCGCGGTCAGTGTCGCTTAAAATTGATGGCGCTCGTTAAAATATCTCCGGTGGCTATGGCTGTAAGGCCTTCTGGTCTTGGCTCCACCAACTGGTTGGTTCTATTTTTAGGGCCAGTCCCTGGAGAAGCAGGTGCAACTGCCTTCGTGGTGTAAGAGCCATGGCCCTTAGATAGTTTTTTTGGTCAATGCGAACCAGTTGGTGGAACCCCAACCGTCATCATCGCCATCTAGTGTAGGTGACAGATAGCCTCGGCCTGCCAATATCACTTACTTCCACACAATGGCTATCCACGCTTCTGGGCCACACAGGTCTTGGTTTTTTGTTTTTCCGCAGGCGTTGACACTTTTTTTTAACCTTAATCTACTTGAGCAAATATTCATCTTCCAGCGATCCAAGGTCAACAAGTTTTCGGTTGAGATATTAATAGAAGATCAAACTTCATTTTCGACTAATCTTTGAAGATGTTTTCTACTTAACCGCTTTCAGGGTTCCCCCTTTCAAGATGTCTAATGGTAAAAGGTGAGTTTATGTTTTGGATTCACTTTGGTATTGCATTACTAATCCGCTGTTTATTCCCACAGTCCTGGTAATGAAGGCAAAATGGTGGCCCTTATGTGTGCCGAAGCCGTGATATTAGGCACAAACTCAAAGGACTATCAAATTTACTCACTAGGTGATCGCATTTTGTAAGAATTCTTCTTAATTTACTAAAAACAAAACTGATTTATTTTATCTAAATAAAAATGTCCATCTCAATCCACAGCTGCTGTGCCCCGAGTACTGGCATTGAACGCGGAATAATGTTGGAAATTTCCAACCAGGTGGAATGCCAGTACCGGGAACGCGGTATAAAACCCACCATGGACCAAGTGCGAGATATGTTGGCCCGAAAATATGAAAACGTTAGCTCCGAGAACGTACTGCTTGTTGGACAGGATCGCCATGGGCCGCATATCTATGCCATGAAAGGGATCGGAATACCGCAAACCTTGATATATGCAGCAAAGGGCAAGGGAAGGGATGACATCATCGGCTATTTGATGCACAACTGGAAAAAGTCATTGAACCTGGCTCAAGCTGAGCAACTAGTAAGGACCTGCCTTCTAGTGGGGGAGAATGATTACGTGAACATGTGCGTCATCTATAAAGAAAAGGAAACATGGGCTAAGGCTGTGCCGCAATTAGAGCCTGTCGCTATTATGGCTTACGACACGGAGAGCGCCTTTGATGACATGACCTCTATGGGTAGTAATTTATCGAACTAATCCTAATTTTAATTTTAAATAAATGAATTGTTGATGCTCGACTTGCCTCCGATGTAATTAGCCGCATTTCTCAGCGTTTTGCAAGTTGGCAAGAAATAGATTAGCCGCTCCTCCCACTGGAAATGGTGCAGCGCAGGCACGAGTGATTTATACTCCTTCACCCTGGCTCTAGGATAATTAATAATGATTAAAAGCTGGCGCCCATCAACGGCCAGGCAGCTGAATCCATGTTTAGGTTATATATATATAGCTCTATATAGATCCCCACTAACCAGATCCGCTCGACGTTTGCCTCTAGGGGTACTGACGTCCAGCTGTGCGGATTAACTTGAATTTATATGTTGTGGCTGCATTTGAATAATTCCATATTCCAGTTGGGAATCGAGATCGGGATATCTTCCACACACTGTCCCTCTGGTTTTGTGCTGGCCACTCACTCTGTGCGTGACCAGGCTTCATTTTCTACTCCTCCGGCCAGTTGTGTGGTCTCCTTCCATTGACAGCTCTTGGGTGGCATTATGCTGTCTGGCCCGGATTTTCACTTTTGTGGCCAGCAAACCGGCAGTTGCTAATTGATTTCCACGTAGACTTGACTTCTTGTTAATCGGTTGCTTGGCGGGCTAAGTGGATCTCAAAGGGATATGATTAAGGATCTGTAATCGGGGAATATAGCAAGAACATTTGTCATTTTTAGTTATTAAAGTCTCTTTTTTAGAAATGGAAGTTATAAAGGCACTACAGCTATCAAGTATCTAAGTTAAAGTTTGACTTTATAATGCTTTATGGTTTTCTTAAGGAATCTTTCATAATCAATCAAAGCCGCTGGTAATATTTAACATTGAGAAATGCTTTTGACAACATTACTTGATATTTCACTTAACTTATCTCATCAAAGCTCACCGTCCTTACATCATCTGTTGGTCAACGAGTCAGCCGTAAAACCCAATATTTTGGCAGACTCCATCTTTCCGTCGTTAAGCAAATATTTCGTCGGCATTTCGCTTGCCTTCCTTTCTTTATTTACCATTTTTATCCGAATTCCAACTCCAATCCGAAAGTGCAATGTCTGGCGAAAATAAAATGTCAATGCCAAGGCGATAAGGGGAAGAAGAATGAGGCGAGCAAAAATCAAACATCAAATATTCCCAATAAATTAAATGCGGCCAGTTCCGAGAAGAGGAGCATCCTCCTTTTTTTTCACTGACTGCATTCAATAATATTTCACTTTCAATCCGCTGAAAGGTGCAAGGAAGCTGGCCCAGGCATTTCGGGGTACCTCTGAATACGAAATCGAGTGGTGCCGCCTTGTGATATCTTTATTTACCCCACCTCAGCCCAAGCACAAAGTAAAAAAAAGTGAAAAAATGCAGACAGTGTCACCTTTCGGCGGCTCGAGGTGGAAATATATTTATGTGGCATGCAAGTTGCAAGGTGTGACAACATGAAAATTTATCTGCACCATCTCTGCAGCAGCCCCCATCTCCTGACCTCCTCCCGCATCCCAAAGGGGCAAGCATATATATATATATGAGCGGGCTACCGACGGTGGATTTATATGGAATCCGAGTCGGGGATTGCCATCTTAATGCGACATTAACTCGTCGGAATCTGTGTATTTGGCCGGGGCAAATATGAGGTGCATTATGTATACAAATGTGTTGGGTGGATGGGATTATCTATGGGTTAGTAGTCACATGTTGCTCTGGGCTGATAGCTGCAGCACAGGTGTTGCAACCACATTTTAAAATCGAGACCAGAATTAATGAACCGTAAAACTGTATAAAAAATGCCGAACCATATTACGGATGGGTATTCATTTCGTTATATACTCGTAATTATTATTCCTCATTGGAGATTTTTTCACATATTTAAGTAGAGAATTTCCATTTTGCTAAAATAATATTTTCATCAAGGATGTAACTTATGCACTTTTTTAAGGCACTTTCTTGTTTCTGTCTGTCGCTGCAAAAATATTTTTTATTTGCTAGCTGTTGCATTGGCAGCCTTAATGAATTGGGACATGCAACATAAAGTAATTTATTTTTAATTAATTTATAAATGCTGCCACATCAAAAATGGCCGCCGAAACCTAGAGAATCGCAGAGGAGACACTGAGCCGTGAATTAAGCCCCGAGTCGTAAATAATTTTTATATCTCGCATTCCCTTCTTTATAGATTTTCATTTTTCCGTTTTCCGTTTTTTCTTTTTTTGGTGTGTGTGTTTAATTTCAGTTTTATTTTTGCCTTTGCCGCATGCAACATGCAACAAGCGGCACGAAGTGTCGCTGACAGCACGTCATCAGCACTTTGGGCGCAGGGAAATCGGTAGGCGATTGGCCACGCCCCCTTATATCGGTGGGCGTGTGCGCGATGGCAGCAATTTCATTAAAATTTACTGCACACTGCAGCGGCGAAAAAATTGTTGCGGTCAATTAACGTCAGCAACGCGTTGCCATCGCTACGGCATAAACCCTTCACTCCCCCCTTTTTGCCATCCAATTTTTCGCCCTTTTCCCCGGATTTCCCTCTCTCCCCCCCTTTGCTCATTAACAGCCGCCCGTCGTCCACAAGCGATTTTATTCCCATTTTGCATCTCTATACGAAGCTTTTTGTTTATTATTGCTGGCGTGAATAAATAAATAAGTTCCATTGACATATGCTCAAATAAATAATAGAGCGCATTTAAATTATTGCCTGCAGCCTGGGGCAGGATAATCCATGCAGCTGCAGGAGGCAAGCAGGGGGCTGGGCGAAATCAGAGGACTCGCCGATGCGGTTGTGAGTTATGATCCTGGCGGGGAGACCGCAAGACCCGCAGAGCCCCATAACAATAAACAGAGGAGCCATCCAGCTCCAGATGACGATCATTTTTAATTTTGCACTCAACAAAAGCCCAGGAAAAGAGCTGACAATGGACTCGAGAAGAAGTGAGTGAATAATTTGCAAAAATTACATTAAAAGTGGAAGGCCATATAAGCTAAGGGAAAACTTTTGAATACCTTAAATATATCAAAAGATAGGAAAAGTAAAATAAATATTAAGAGGTTAAAAATAAAAGAAGTTCTGGGAGTTTATTTGAGAAATATGTTTAGTCTTTTCTAATTTATATAGACCTATGATTCAGCATCTTACTCTTCTACATCATTTAAGAAATGTTTAATGTATTTATTTTTTTAATTTTTTAATAACCTTTGAAAGTGCAGAAACTTTAAAAAGTACTCTCTCTGAATTAAGCACTTTCCAGAATAATTAAAAAATCTGCAGAGTGGTCACTTCTCGGTTGATAAAATTATGCAACTGCCGACCGATTGCAGCTATAAACTTAACTTTAATATCGAATATGCATAATGTGTTAATGCCAGTATAAACTTGACTTTAATATCGATTCTTTTTCCCATTTCCATGGACTACTCCCATTATATGAGAGGACTTGCAGCCCAATTCTGGGTCCATCAAAGCGAGAACCCAATCAAATGCACTTCGCCTAGAGAAACCCAGCCACTTAATTGATAAACTTTCCCACTAAACTAATTTGTTTTTACGCAGACTCAATCAGAGCCGCCGAGCAGAACAAGTGAAAAGAATTTAATTAAGCTGCTGAAGCCAAACCAAAATGTTCCCCAGAATTGGACTGGAAGGAGGGGAGAACGTGGTGTTCAGACAGAGAGAGAGATACCACGCGATGCGATGCGTGTGTCGGAGCCCCCGGGAAGTTGACCCCAAAAGGTTTGGGTCCTCGAGTACCCCATCCCCGCACCAACAAGCCAACTTATTAGGCCTCCTTTGCCAGTGGGCGTGGCACAATAACAGAGACCCTCGCGCAAAGGAAATTGCAGATGACTCGCCGGGCAGCCGAACCGCAAATTAGTTTCGCTTTTTGGAGGGATTGGGATTCTCCTCGGGATCTGTATCTGTATCTGGCTACCAATGTCAAGCCAAGTCCAAGCCTGAATAAATATGAAAATATTGTTCAAGTAACCGGCAACCAGTGCCCAAGGCGTCTTTCCTGGAAACCGAAAGAGCAACCGGAATAACAATAACAACAATCACCCCCATGACACAGGGCTCTGGAAAAGGGACCGTGCCGATGCACTGCCAGAAATTATGGGTTAGATATGGAGATTGTTGCATTGTTTGGGGAAAAAATAGATTAAAAAAAGAGTATCTTAAAATGTAGTTAAAAATAATCTATGATGGGTTAAGGTTTTAAGTAAACATTCCACATAAATATTCATATAAATTCCGAAGTTTGTAATTGCCCAGAGAATTTTTTAAAATGTAAACTTTAAATTTCTTTTCAGTGCTTTTGTCCAGAGACCTCTCCGTCACTTTTTTACTCACGCCAGAAAATTGACGCGAGCCGCGCTCTGAAATCGCTCCAAACGTTGTCATCGTTGTCGGTTTGTTTGGCTGTTGGGCTGTTGGGTCGGTGGTTGCATCTGCATCTTGGCATCGGCATCGGCATCGGCATCGTCATCTGCATCTCGCGTCCTCCATATGTGCGCACTTAGAGATGCCCGAGATGAGATAAGCTTGCAGTGGTCCCCATCCCATACCCATTCCCATTCCCATTCCCACTTCCCGAACTACTCCTTCGATGCCAGGCCCGCTGCTTTTTGTTCATAAATTATAATTTTATGATCACGAACATATTCGTGGAATACTCGTTGGCGTTGTGTTGTTTGGCTCATTGTCGCCAGCTCCGTTGTCTGCCGGCTCCCAGGGGCGTTAAATATTAAAGTGTCTGGAGATCTGGAGAGGAGAGGCCCTGGATTGGCACTGGAAATTGGCTCTGTTCTCCAGTTCTGTGGTCTTTGGTCTTTGGTCTTTCGTCTTTGGTCCGTGGAGAGTGTCATCGTTTGTGTTTACACTAATTGAAGAACTCTTCGGCTGGGGCCCTTCAATGTCACGGATGCTTCCAGTTTTCTCTCCTTTTTTTTCGCTGGATCGTTAACTTACTTTATTGCCTTGGCTTGGGTTCTAGCCTGAAATTAGTTTGTTTTAGCTTAGCCGCCA